GTTGATAGTTGATCCAAGAAGATTGAAGTCCTTGACAACTTCAATCTTTTCTCCATTGTTTATTGGTGCAGTGGTGAGGATTTTTGTTTTCTTTAAACATGCAATCAAGATGCATTGATCATTACTGGTGATTGGAGTGCATCTTTTCAGCCATTCTTAAAATGAAGTTTTAGAAGGTGTTTTAGACATATATTTATTATAAAATTATTTTTCTTAATGGAAAAAAAAATACAATCACAGACTTAAAGAGGAGACAGCCTGGAGTACTGTCTGTATTGGGGTATGTGGCTTTGGGAAGAAGCCAAATGGGATGAAGAAATTTCAGTGCTTTTCAGTTTTATAGGTGCTCCTGAACAAGATAAGGAGCTCTGGTAGCATAGCGGTCATGGGTCAGGCTGCGAACCTCGAGGTCGGCAGTTCGAAACTACCAGCTGTTCCATGGGAGAAAGATGAGGCATTCTGCTTCTGTAAAGATTTGCAGCCTTGAAAACCCTGTCCAGGGTCACCATGAGTCAGAACCGACTCCACGATACTTAACAACAACAACATTGAATGAGATGAAGGAGCGGCAAATTTACCTCTCTGTCTGAAGAAAGGTAAATTTCTAACAAGTGGACACCACTTTTCTGTGCTCCTCTTCCATTTAACATCTTTAATGAGCATTAAGGATGGTTAACTATACACTGGACTGCTATGGGTTGGAACCGACTCAATGGCATTTAACAACAACAACTATATGCTGCTTTCCATAAGAAGACTAGTTCAGTGGGGGAAACCTATTTAATCAGAAATGACTCTACTTCTGAGAAATGATGACAATTTAATACAAGAAGATGATTTCAAATAGAGAAGAGGATCTGTCCATGTGTGCTTCATCCACGTCAGGCTTGGCCATTGCTCATTTCATACTCTTAAGAGCCCTACATGGCAGGTGTCACGTACTACTCTCCCAACACTGAGGCAGATTTAGGTAAGTGCCTCGCTTGCGTAGCAAGTTTTCATCATAGCTGGTAGAAGCAGGACTGAACCCAATTGTGAGGTTATTGTTGTTGTTGTTGTTATTGTTATGTGCCATTGAATCGGTTCAGACTTGTTGTTGTTGTTAGGTGCCATCGAGTTGGTACCAACCCAAAGCGACCTTATTTATGCACAGCAGAACGAAACACTGCCCGATCCTGGGCCAACCTCACTATTGACCCAAACTCAGAGTGACCTTATATAGGGTTTCTGAGGAGTGGCTGTTGAGTTTGAATCACTGACCTTGAAGTTCAAACAGACCTTGCAGCCCAGGGCTTATCCTACCGT